AATATAAAATTGAAACGGGTTTCAACGGAGATGCGGTCCTCAAATCATCTGCTGGAGCAGAACAATGAGTACGATGTCAAATATATTACAGGACCAGGCGTTCAGCTTGAACGAAACCATGGGCTCAAGGTCTCCAAAGTTACATGCCAGTCTCAGAAAACCCATCAACAATGCTTGACACAAAACAGGTCGCTCCGCCATGTTTAAACCTTGTTTGACCAGCTGACCAGCAGCTGTGACCAGCTGACCAGCAGCTGTGACGTCATGTGGCACTCCGAGGTGCAGCATTCCGTTCCGTTGTCCGGCTCGGGCTTCCCTGGCAGAGGACGGGTCGATTGCCCAGTTACCGAGGCCGTAAGCGACGCAACATGCCGGTGGGAAAGTGCAAGCTGGATTCCGGCGCCCGTTGCAATCCTGCAGAAGTTGCGTGTCAGGGCATCTTACGGTTGCAGTGAATTTCTGTACAATGCTTGGTCTTATCCTCACTCGAGAACATTAACAGGCTGCTCATTCGGCACATGCTACTGTCGGCTGCTCGCTCTGGAGCTGCCAGCGAAAAGATGAACCCGTGAGAGCGCTGGCTCAGTCGGGTTTAGACTTGATAGCCGACCGGCCTTGCCTCTGTTTCATAGTCACGATATAGATATGCGTGACTGGAAACTATCTGTATGAATGTGGAGGGAATCGCAGATAGAATGAATGAGGTTCTTCTGTGAAAACGTCCTCTCGGTTGGTTTTGCTTGGCCTCGTGGCCGCCATTGCAGAGCTTGGGAATCCAATTTATGTAGGTGTGCGAGGAGTGCGCCTTGCTCGAATACTAAGTTGTTCAGATATGAGTTGATAGTTCCAGGCTGCTGTTTGGGGCGGTGTACACCGACTTGAAAGCTATTATCTCTTCACGCTGGTTCTCCAGAGGCTTCGAGTTTACATTATGGGCGGCGGTGCGTTTTGGCACCTGGACAACCTGCTTGCTGAGCCGGATTTTGTCTTGGTACCATTTTTTTCGTAGTCGGGAAGGCCTCGGCCAGGAGGGACCACTATGACTATTTCTAGGTTTGCGAAGAGGGAAAACTTAACTTGGCTGTCTGAGCTCTGGTTCTGGCTGTTGCCAACTTGTAGGAGATGGTTGGCGAAATGCCCTGCTGCTTTGTCGCCGTTTAAGGTACGGACACATTGGCGATGAGATGCTTATGGATTGGCTGGTCGTCACTTACCACTCGTCACGCTCCAATTTGTATAATGCAACTGATAGACAGTTACGCTGGAGCCTCTAGATCATCACTTAAGTTGTGTTTGTGGGCGCTTCTGATAATTTCGTTATGGCCTTCACTACAGCAATTCACATATATGCAATTGAGCCGTACACGGAAGCCGATATAACAGCCGAAAACATGCCCGCTCCGATCATCTTCAGACGGCGCAGGTCCGACTGTCACCAATGCTCACCATGCGATGCGAGATTAGCTGGCGCTTTAACAGCCGAGAACATCCCCGCTCCGATAAGCTTCAGACGGCGCAGGTCCGGCTATCAGCAATGCTCACCATGTGATGCGATTTAGCTGACGCTTTAACAGCCGAGGAACATCCCCGCTCCGATCAGCTTCAGACGGCGCAGGTCTGGCTGTCACCAATGCTCACCATGTGGTGCGAATTAGCTGGCGCTTTAACAGCCGAGAACATCCCCGCTCCGATCAGCTTCAGACGGCGCAGGTCCGGCTGTCACCAATGCTCACCATGTGGTGCGAGTTAGCTGGCGCTTTAACAGCCGAGAACATTCCCGCTCCGATCAGCTTCAAACGGCGCAGGTCTGGCTGTCACCAATGCTCACCATGTGGTGCAAGTTAGCTGGCGCTTTAATAAGCACGTTGGTCCGATCCGGACCGCATTGTTACGTGATTGTCCTCTCGCCTCGCTGATTCAGAGCTTTTAAGGCCTGGGGATCCTCCAAAAACGCTTCTCAAATTATAAGTGGCAATACTGATGAGTTTCTCAATTATTATGCATCAAGATAAGGCCGCTTGGTGCTGCTGGCTCTCCAGAATGCATAGGATCAATGTGGAAACACTTTTGGCATCAACGTTGAGTCTAAGAATGATGCTTATCGGAATATATCAGAGCCAAGGGAGCATTTCGCCGAGAGTCATATCACTCTGCATATCGGTTTACAAATAATGCATGTAGTGCAGTGGGAGGGAACCATGTTCTCCAAACATGAAAGGATTTGTCAGAGTCCTACCGAGCTACTTTTGCACGGAGCGGTGCTAAGCCAATAGCAGTGATAGGATGGGAAAGTTTACTGCTTTGTGGTTGGGCGAGATGGAAAAAGTGGGAATCGTTTCAAGAGCGGTCGGGTTCCGCCACTGGATAAACCGGAGCCGCCAAACCGCCACTGCGTCACTGGCACCGCCTGTTAACCAGACGAAAAACATGTATACAGACATACCCATGACCAGATGTACGGCGTCTGTGCATATGTGCACAGCTGCAGCCCTGTATTATATGTCCCTTTGTACATGTCCGCGCCTCATCACTTTTCTACATGTCTGTAGGTAATCTTGTGACGTAACATACACGCCTACGAAATGTGACACCGTCCATAGGCAGCGAGACTGCTGTTCTCTAATAGTAATGCAAGCGAGGGGATGCCGGGCGACAACAAAGGGATGTTGGTTGTAAGAAATCGTGCGCCGTGCATTAGTTCAGTCTACATCCCTTTTACATGAAGTCTTAGAAAAAAAATACGTAAAAACTCTGTAGAAAAGCAGGTAACTGTTTATGTTCCGAATGTTTTCAACCGCATTTTGCTTCACAGAACTTCTAAGCCGTGATGTGCAGTGGCGAAGGGGAAGGGCCAAGAAACAACTGCCAACCAACTCACGATACGTGCCAACGACGCGTCAGGGTGGTGTTTGGAGGATTTAACTCCCTGATCTCTCAAAATTAGGGGAACTAAAAACGCCCTTGTGACAGAACACGTGGGAATCCATGTCAACTGTTATGTGTTTAATTCTTCATCTCTAGGTCGTGACCTATAATTCCGCTAACGTAAAAGATGGTGAACATCTTTATCAGTGTCGAAAGTGCCCTAAACGTATTCCTATCCCTAGACATATACTCTATACGTATCTTGAGCCTTGAAGCCTTTTTCAAAGCAAAAAGTCACTCGGTGGCATATCACGCTAGTGACATTTGACATCGAGAACATCAAAATGACACCAAACTTGCGGTATCACTTTGGTATTTCAATTCAAAATCCGCATCAAGAACTTCTCCAAGCAAAACGGCTTCACGTTGATCAAGGCTCTTTTAGGTTAGTTATCTCCCATGGGCTGCATACGTCAACGTCGTTAAGATCAGTATATCAAAACAATCACAACTGTTTGACAAAGACGACTTTTAGTTGCTTGATTTTTTCAGGTTTTACTTAAGTCCGACTTTTATAACGGATCCAAAGCAAAGGACTTACTTGCAATGCTAACTTCAGTTGCATTGTTAATCAATTGCGCATACAAAAAAAAAACACCTCAAAGCTGCATGGCTGTCTAAAACTTGGCGACTCAGTTAATGTGAAAGCTCATCTAAGAATCGGCTTTGCCGGCAATCGCAGCGTATACAACACAAAAGAATACATATTTTATGGACCTTTTATAGGTCCGAATAGGTCACTGACCTCAACTGATCCAGATCGACATTTTGTTTTTGGGAACGTGCCGCCTGGCGACATCTTTGTAGCTTATTCAAATGCAAAACTCAAAACAGTCTCGTATAATTCTGGTCACCATGATCTTCAAAAGGTCAAAAAAGGTCACTGACCCTAAACCAGGATGTGACCTTTTCCTTGGAACAGGTGTCTAGGTTATGAGAGGAATTTGGGGATCAACCTGAAGTTTGACCTTGTTTGACCTTATTCGACCCAAATATCAAAACCTAGGAACTTGAAACTTTGATTTCAGTGAGTTCACGTACGCATCAGCACAACCTGTAAGTCTGATATCTCTAGCTCTTTTAGAACCTGAGATCTCGGGGGGGGGGGGGGGGTCAAATTGACCCTCGCTCCAGCGAAGGGTATCCAACCGGCCACCCGGGCGCGTATTACAGCTCGTGTACCTGCACCAAACTAATGCCCTTCAGTCATCGCAAGTTGCACTTTTCCCACGCTAAAAGCGTAACAGACAAGTCACGTAACTCCACACGCATCACACTGTTCACAACGCTGACTTCCAAAGGGCTCTCCATTTAGCAGGCGCCATTACTTGAGAGACTGCGGATGTGACGCACGGATCACAAAGGCAATGTCTCGTCGACAATGGTATGAACACGTGCTTATGATAGGCCGCGGGAAAGGCCAGTCCACTTGGGCCCGCCCCAAGCAGCAAGTTGTCAAGCCTGACTGCGAGACGATACAGCTAAATGAAAAAAGGTGGCCGAAGCCTAACGTTTAAATTTGTTGTTCCATTTGGTAGCAGTGCATTTAAACCACATATATTCGATCAGTAGCAAAAAGACAACAACAAAAAACAACAGCATTTGCCCATGTGATTCACGCTAACAGTCTCAAACTCTGTTATCCTCGGAAACATGCGCTGTCCCGGCTAGAAAGCGTGTGGGTTGTCTGCGCATGACTGGTGGTGGATTAATTATGACATGCCACCGAACCGGTTTCCAGAGCCCTGCTGAGAACTGAAACATACCGGTGAGGATTGCGCCTGTGGACGTAAGGTGAGCGATAGTAATTCCCCGACATTTTGGCTGCTGTCCCTTGTGGCCTGCAAAAGCCGACGGCGGGTGGCGGCACAGTCAGTCGTGTCGCTGGCCGCGTCCAGAGCCGAGCTATGCTGCTGCTATTGTCCGTGCTCTGTTCTCTGACGACGTCGGGCGGAGCCGCCCGCGATTTTTGGGGCGGCGCGATCGTGTTCCCAGACGCCTCGCCCGCGTGGTCGGGCGGCGTCGCCACGTGCACGGCGCCCAGCGGCCGGCCCGGCGTCTGCGTGCTGCCGCAGGACTGCCCCGCCAAACTGCGCAAGTCCAGGAGGGGCGATGCCTGCGGCTACGACCTGCACACACAGCAATTCAAGTGCTGCTGCGAGACGACGGTGGAGCAGCCGGTGCTAGTTTCAAAGTCGAGCCGGTCGCCGTTGCCAGCGGACTGCGGCAACAGTGGCGGCAGCAGCATCTTCCCCAAAATCGCCAACGGTCGGTCGGTCGAGCGCGGTGCCTGGCCGTGGGCGGCCGTGCTGGGCCAGAAGCAGTCCGACGGCAGTGTGCGCTGGCTCTGCGGTGGAGCGCTGATCGGCGCGCGTCACGTGCTGACGAGCGCCCACTGCCTGGCGAACTCGCCCGACCAACTACTGGTGAGGCTCGGGGAGCATGACCTGGACGCGGCCGACGATGGCGAGCACCAGGACCGCGGCGTGCGCCGTGCAGTGCGCCACCCAGACTACATGCGCAGCAGCAACGACGTGGCGCTGCTGGAGCTGGATCGTCCGGCGGAGTTGTGCGACACCGTGGCGCCCGTCTGCCTGCCGGAGCCGACGGCGACGCTGGCCAGCCGTGACGGCTGGGCGGTCGGCTGGGGTGAGCTGAGCTACCGGGGGGCGGCGGCTAACGTGCTGCAGGAAGCATTCGTGACGGTGGTGCCCGTCGAGGAATGCGAGGCGACGTACCGCCAGACGCCGCAGTACAGCTTCCGGTTCCCGGGCGGCTTCAGCGGTGGTGTGCTGTGCGCGGCGGACTACTCCGGTCAGGGCATGGACGCGTGCCGCGGCGACTCGGGCGGGCCGCTCTCGGTGCTGGGGCCCGACGGACGCTACCAGTTGGCCGGCCTGGTGCTGGAGGGATTCGGCTGTGGCGGCGCCACCTTCCCCGGCCTGTACACGCGCGTCGCTAACTACGTCGACTGGATCCGAAGGGAGGTCTCGCGTTAGTGACCGGCCGCAGCCTCCGCCCACCGGCGCGCGTACCCCGTCGCAAGACATCTGATCGCGTGAGGTATTCACCGGAACGTTGCGGTCTTAATATTTGATTTGTATTTGAGTGTTCAGCTTGTTGACATGATGCGTTGCATGGCGTGCGTTGATTGAACTGCGTCCTAGGTGAATGTGTGGCCGTTGTGATGCTGAAGTGCGATATTGCGAAAGGAGTGGCGAAGCGATGTTACATTGCGCTGAATGATGCTATGCGTCTGCATTATCACACAAATATATTGTTCTGAAACCTTTTGGCTCTTAATATTTCTCATGAATTCCCCGAAGCGACATGCGACCTTCATGACCACCAGAGCACGTGCGCCAAACGCATCTATGTTTGCTATCCTCAACATCTCAGCCGCATTTCATCTTCTGTAACGTGTGCATACCCCCGGTTAATAATGAGGTGGAGGGCACGCGTAGTACCCATACGTGCATTTTGTTCAGTCCGCCGAATTATCAGGGCTAGCGGGCGTTTTCTATCTACCAAAATTCATAGATCGAATAAGAAACGACTTTTTGTGGTTTGAGAAGAGGGAGACAATACAAGGCGTGAGCGTTTTTGATATTATGTAAACGTTCCCTTGGGATCAGTATTATGCCTCACGCTAGATGGGCATGCAAGTTCCTCGGGTTTTTCAGAACTGTATTTAGTCCTTACACAGCTCACACAGGTGCGATGCTATGTGTCTCTCTTCAAAGGCAGCAGGAGAACAATATGATTTGCGCTGTGAGTGTGCAAGCTTCTTGTGCGAAAGAAGGTGCTTCTCCAACTTGCATTTAAAGGGCATGTTTCACGCTTGAAGGCATTGCGGCAAGCATCAGAGATGATGATATAAGTTCACTTGTTTTTTGATTAGCGTTTTCAATATAAAATATGTTCTAGACAACACAATTTCGCCTTTTAGTAAATTAGTCCTCAATACGTCATCGCTTGATTGCGTCACGAAACGCTTGCATGACGCCAGAGGGGTTGCCCAACTGGCTCTGTGAAACTGATTTAGTAGCGGGTGGGCTGACTCACTTGTAGTGCTCCTCGAGAAACGTGCTTTCGGTGCCTTGTTGGCAGAACCCAAATGTCGTCATGTGCGCATGCTTTATTCCTTTCTTGTGGTGTTCTTAAATATATATATATATATAATATATATATATATATATAGACGAGAGAGGAGAGAGAGAGAAGATGAGAGGAAGGAATAGAGAGAGAGACGAAGAGAGAGAGAGAGAGAGGAGAGAGAGAGAGAGAGAGAGATGAGAGAGAGAGAGAGAGAGAGAGAGGAGAGAGAGAGAGAGATAGAGAGGAGAGAGAGCGAGCGAGAGAGAGAGGAGAGAGAGAGAGAGAGAGAGAGAGAGGAGAGAAGAAGAGAGAGAGAGAAGGGGAGAGAGAGAGGAGAGAGAGAGAGAGAGAGAGGAGAGAGAGAGACGAGAGAGAGAGAGAGAGAGAGAGAGAGAGAGGAGGAGAGCGGAGAGAGAGAGAGAGAGAGAGAGAGAGAGGAAGAGAGGAGAGAGAGAGAAGAGAGAGAGAGAGAGAGAGAGAGAGAGAGAGAGAGAGAGAGAGAGAGAGAGGAGAGAGAGAGAGAGAGGAGAGAGAGGAGAGAGAGAGAGAGAGAGAGAACGAGCTCGATCTATCTCGTATCTCAGAGCTCTCTAGCTCTAGAGCTTCTTATATCTCTCTCTATCTCTCTCTCTCTATCTCTCTATCTCTTCTCTCTCTCTCTCTCTCTCTCTCTCTATCTATATCTCTCTATATCTCTCTCTCTCCCTCTTCTCTCTCTCCTCTATATATCTATCTATCTATCTATATATGTGAGTTTAATTGTTTGCTTGTAGTTACATATTTGGTTATTTTCTACAAAACTTGATGTGTGTTAAACTTGTACAGCCTGCACAACCCTGGATCAGAGCCAACTGACGACCGCTTTACCTGGAGATTGTGCTCATGAACATCAGATATGAACAGCTCAGCGATTATATTCTTGTTGTCCTTGAACTATACATTGCCAATGGGGCAGCAGGATTTAGATGACGCTACTATGGCGGCATGCAGTGCTGAATAACTTTAAAGTAGTCTACAAGAAATGGTCTACACATATTCGCGGGCATGTGACTCAGAAACTAGAGGGTTTTAAGCCCTGAGAAGATCAAAATTACTGACCAATATTACCACGACTGACCCACTGCCGACCCCGACCCCAGGCGTGACCTACTCCCCGGCCTGCAATTGGCCGGGTCACGTGACCACGTAGCCTCGAGAACAGCCGTGAAAATGAGGGGTCTCCTCACAAAAGGCAGGCCAGCGCTCTTGAGATTCGAATCCAACACCAATTTCGTACGCGCTGACAACGTAGGCGCCCAAAACCACTGTGCCATCAGGACGAAAATCACATTAGCGGGACAGAGGGCAACCAATCACGCACACAATAATACATAACCTACATAGACCGGATGAAACATAGGCAAACGAGACGCCTAAAGCATATATTGAGGCCGCACGTTTTCTTTCGATGCATTACATCGCCAACACCACAGCATCAGCGACCCGACCGGTACACCTCTTTCCCTGACGTGGCGAATGCTGCGGAGCACGGCCGGTTATACAACGCCGCGAGGCGGCTGTTGGGCGCCGCGGCGTCCCGTGCCACGCTGTTAGCGGACTGGCTCCGTTCGGAAAATCCTTCGTCTCGTGGTGACTTAACGTCTTCCAGGAACATCCCGATATGGCAGAGCATGCTGTGCTTCGGTTTGATGGCCTTGGATGCAAGTATCACGGAACTGGAGTCTGAATGCGCCCAACCACAACTGTCAGCTAAGTCAGCTCCTGGATCTAAAAAAAGGTTCTCATCAAAATAAACGATCGTCATGCGAGCACTATAGGCACTTGACTCCTTACATAGGGTACTGCGAACTCGAAGTTCTCACCCTGACATTTATAAGCCTCAAGGATTCCAGGAGGGAATTGTAAGACGAAGTTATCAAGCAAACATGTGATGTCTTGTCAAAATTCGACGTCTTTTTGTGGCCACCAGCGCTGCTCGAAACGTCAATGTTGACAATGTAACCAATGTTGACTTGGCAACATTGGTTACATTGGTTACAAAGGTGGCACGCCCTCCGTTTCACAGAGGGTGTGCCACCTTTGGGCATAGTTCAGAAACATGCTCTTGTGCGACCTCATGGCCGGTTTCGTCTATCAATAGCACCGGGTCGTACCACTGCAGCACCAGCAAGACAAATAAGCAGAGTAGTTTGAATCATTTGTCGTCAAAATCACGCTGTCAACATTTAGTCGCGGCACGGCACTCCTTTTGCTTTGAAGACACTTGAAGCCCCGGAGTGCAGCCGTTGCTGTGGAAAATTATGATGGCGAAATGTGCCCTGAGAACCGTCGTCAGCTGTTACAGATCACAGGTACCGCTTTTGAGCTGTTTTAACACGCATAATGCGGACCTGCGGGATGCAAAAATGGCACTGGTACGGTACTGGTTACTGGTACTGGTACGGTACTGGTTCTGGTACTGGTACGAATGACGGTACAAATGAACGTTTGTGATTGGCACAGCGGGTGGAGTATAGTTTTCCCCTAAGAAGTGTGTTCCAAGTCTTTTAGCATTTTGGCCAATTAGGGTATTGCACATGAATACACGTCGACAAAAAGCAAAGCAATTGAAAATTACTACCTTTAAAAGTGAGAGAGCCTTATGGCATTTCCCCGTCGGGTCAGCTCTTTCAAATGGAAATTCTGAACGATTCAGAAGAAGTTCGATGAACCTGGTATTACCAATAAAATCTGACGCGTCTGGTGTGAGGATAAGCAACAAGCATAAAAATGGCATCTCCCTTTATCAACTATTTCCTAACACCATGAAAGTCGATAGCTGTTGACATGGCAACTCCGAACTCATAATAAAGCAGTACGCCGTAAAAAGGCGAACCGAAACATTCAAAAACAGCCATGAAACATACCATCCCAAATTGCGGTTTCGGTGGAAGACGTACCGGAGACACAAGTTTTACAGCTTGAGCCCGACTCCTTGACATGCTTGGTCTTGGAAGGCGAATGCTGGTGAATTAAGCTTATTTTTTCGGAACAGTAAATACCTAATTCGACCATGCGTATTATGTATGTATATAGCGATATCAAGGAGGATTACGGGTCCAAACTTTTTCTAACCAACACAGAAGATAGAGTTGATGATACATATGGCGCTGCCGCTTTTTGTTTGAAACGATCGAACTTGGTTCCGAAACAGCTCAAGTTCTAGCAGCCATGGCACATTTTTCCTCTTACGCATTTTTCCAGAACAAAGAAGAGCAGGTATGTTATTTCCCCTGAACCGAAATTGCGGGTAAGATTAATCACAAGTCTAACGGTCCAATAACGAGAGACTTAAGGCTGTGATGGACAAAGTAATTGCAAAATAATTGGATGAATATAACTACGGACATGTATAATGTAAAGAAAATTCATATTTATTTCAACAGTTCACAAGCATAGAAACATCAACACTCGACTGTCTATGGATGACGAGAGCTAAAACAATGCAAAAGGTCGCTGCATTCACACGACACCATGCGTGTCCTCCTTGCATGGCACCCTCCATGGCCGCAGCCAAGCCGACCTAGATGCGGCGATGCGGTGTGGTGCGCGGCCTGCGTCAGTGGGCGCCCGGTCTGGCGTCCCGTGACGCGTCCGGTGACGCCGCTGCGGGCCCGCGCCAGGCGCCGGAGAGCCCGTGGCCATTCCGGGCCGGCGAGATCGCGCAGTGGCCGGAGCAGAGGAGCCGGTCCTAGAAAGGTCGGAGAAAGGGTCGTAAAGCAGTTGTTATCGTGTGTGAAATGTGTTGCTGTGCGTCCGTATCGTGTATTGTATGTCGTCATAGCGTGTTTGTGTACCTGAATTTCGTCATGATAAAGTTCGTCGGGTACACAATTTGTGATGCCAAGGTTCCTCATATAAACAGCCCATATAGGATAAAGTTCACAGAATTGTGTGTTTGCCGGGAAAAACTGGGTAACGGCAATGTTCGTGCAAGCAAAAATTGCTGTGAAAAATGATCGCAAGTAATTGGTCGCGTACAATTGATTGCAGAGAGATGTTCAACGGGACATGTATATTTCATTTTAGTACGCACTCAAAAGCTGGCATGCAGGTTTACCTGATTGATGGCACGCAAATATTTGTCAGAGAAAAGCCGTTCTACAAAAGCACCCACGTAAAATCTCGTATGCAGATGCATGATGTA